CAGTGGTAACTCGCTTAGAAATTCTTTCAGTTTTTCGAATGCCATTTGCGCCTCGTCATTCCATTGAAAAGCTTTCTTTTTAAGCAACTTGAAGAATGGGAAACTTCTCTCCGCCGCTCGAGCGATGAACCTGCTCAGGCCGGCAATTCGACCTATCAGGACTTGCACTTCTCTGATGCTCTTTGGTGGAGCCATGTCGAATATGGCCTTCACCTTATCTTTGTTCACTTCAATGCCTCTTTCAGTTACGACATAACCAAGGAATCGTCCTGCCTTCACTCCGAAGGCGCATTTACTCGGGTTCAGCTTCATCCCAAATGTCCTCAGTGTCTCTAATGTTTCTCTTAGATCCTCGACATGCGAGGTCGAGGACCTACTTTTCACCAGAATGTCGTCCATATACACTTCCATATTACGCCCGATCTGCGGCTTGAACATTCGATCCATCAGCCTTTGGTATGTCGCCCCCGCATTTTTGAGCCCAAAGGGCATGACGACGTAACAATATGTCCCTTTGCTTGTCACGAAGCTAACTTTGCTTTGGTCCTTGGGGGCCAGCAGAATTTGGTGATACCCCTGGGATGCGTCCATCATGCTTAGCAGCTCGCAACCTGCCGTGGAGTCGACTAGCTGATCAATTCTTGGTAAAGGATAGTGATCCTTTGGGCATGCCAGGTTTAAGTCACGAAAATCGATGCACATGCGCCACTTATTCAATGCTTTCCTCACCATCATTGTGTTGGATATTCATTCAGGGAATTGGATTTCTTTGATATGCTTGGCTTTGAGCAACTTATCCACCTCGACCTCAATTGCTTTATCGATCTCAGCTCCATGATGCCTAAGTCGCTGCTTGATGGGCTTTTTCAGGAGATCGACATTGAGTTTGTGCTCCATGACCCCCAGGTTGATTCCCGTTAACTCTTCAGGAGAGAAAGCGAATATGTCTCTAAATTCTTTTAACAACTCCACCAACTGTTTTCTCAACTCATTCCCCAATTCTCTCCCGACCTTAGTGGTTTGGTCCTCTCTCTCCCCGATATGAATTTCCATCAATTCTTCGTGTGGCTCGAGGTCGCTCCCCCTCGGCCTCTTTTCGCTCGACATTGGCTTCTTTCCTTCCCTTACCTCTGCTCGCTTGTTTGTTTTCACTTTTATTTGCTAACAGGTTCTCGATAGCTTCTGATCTCCTCGGGCCTCCCCTACTCTATCCCCAACGGGGAACTTTAGCTTCATATGGTAGGTTGACACCACTGCTTGGAATGCGTTGAGCGCCGGCCTGCCCAGAATCACATTATAAGCAGACTCGACGTCGACTACAACGAACCGTACCATCTTTACTTTCCCCAAGTCGCCTTCCCTTAGGACGACAGCGAGCGTGGTTTTTCCTAGGGGTGCGACTTCCGATCCGTTGAACCCAAAGGGTGATGTATGTAAAGGCGTAAGCTCGATGTCGAGCTCCATCCGTTTGAGACAGTCATAAAAAATCACATTTACCGAAATTCATGTGTCGACAAAGATTCTCTGTACTTCGTAGCCCGATACTTGGGCTGTTATCATCAAGGCGTCATTGTGAGGCCTTTCGACCTCTCCCTCATCTGCTGGCCCAAAATTCATCACCGGGCCTCCCTCATCGACTTGCTGCACCTCGACCTTAGCGAACTTCCCTCGGGCATACGCCTTTCTTGCTCGATTTGAATCTCCATCAGTCGACCCACCGAAGATCATATGAATTATTCCCCTTTTCGGGAGAAGCTCCTCCTT